ACAGGGACATCGACTTTCGGATGCGCAGGCGGAGCAGCCTAACAATCTAGGAGTGATACTACACAAAAAGCTCTCATTAAAGAAAAACATTGCGGAAAAGGCAAGAAATGCTTTCTTCTCCTGCAGGAATATGTTTGGAGACAAATGGGGACTACACCCAAAGATCATTATATGGCTCTACACAGCAGTGGTACGACAAATACTAACATATGGGGCCCTTGTATGGTGGCCGGCACTAAGTAGGGCATAAAACAGATCGAAGCTGACACGAGTACAACGAGCATAGAGTGCGGGGGCCATGGGAGGAATGCTGAATATAATGCCGATAGAACAGGTGGTAAAGGACATTGCAGCCCCGAGCGCAGTAAGATTGAAAGCAAGCAATTGGTGGAAGGAATACAGCGCCGGGCACGGCAATATACTTGAAAGCTTCAGAATAAAGGCAAACGAAAAAAACGGACTACATGACCGCGCAGTTCAACTTCCGGAACGCATTCTCAACCTCATACCCAACAAGGGAAGATTGGAGAAGGGATAAAGTGGTAGTAGAGAACGAGGTGTCCCTCTACACCGATGGCTCCAAGATGAGCTGTGGCGTAGGGGCTGGGATGTAGGCTGAAAATTGGGGAATTGACTAAGACTCAGCCATAGGGCCATACTGGCCGATGATTGCCCCCCTCAGGAGGTCGTCCGGTTCAACATCTCGGACTCAGCGGCGGTCTTTCAAGTTGAGTTTGCTAGCCATAAGGGAAGCAGCCCAACTCTCCTTACGGCGGGAGCTTAAAGAGCATAGCAAGTGCGGATCTACTGGAATAGCCAGCTATTAAATCCCAAGCTGTCGTGAAAACAAACTCACGGCAAATGGCAAAATGCAAGAAAAAAATGAGGTAAAAGTAACCTGGGTACCGGGACACAGATCCCATTGTGGGCACATAACCCAATCTGTAGAAGTTGCAAACTAACTACAGAGCAAGAAACACCGGAACATCTGCCCTACTACTGCCCAGCGCTAAACAACACCTAACTTCGCCACTTTGGTACCTATCAGATGGAGTCACTGGGAAGCATAGGAAAGCTAAAGCTATCGGCAATACTAGGTTTCCTTACTGACTCAGGATGGTACTGAAAGTGATCGGGACCACAAATTGCAAACAGAGGGAGTGGAGCAAAAAGGAGCTTAGCTCTAATTTGAAGCTCTAGTCTTGTGCCTCACCACTGTAACCTATCTTACCTTAACATAAAAGCTCATATTCTTACGGACATTTTACAACGTCCCCGAAAATAGTATATTGAGGTGGGGGACCACCCTGAACGCCTGAAAATGGGAGGGTTTTTAAAAATTAATTTTACCAAAGCTATGGAAAGTACAACTTTTTATTGATTGAAATATCAAAGTACATATGTTAAAGTAAGAATTACTATTTTAAGAATTAAAAATATTAATTAATGGCGGAGATAAAATAAAAAGCCAGAGCCGATAAAATAAAGATTAAGATGGAAAAGTTTAAATTTTCTTACGCTATGGATATTTCATCTGTTAAAATAAATGTCCCTAACGAGCTCTTTAACACTATTTGCTCTACCAACTTCTGGACAGAGTACATTGTTATTAAGGAGTTCGAAGAAAACAAAAAGAAAAAGCGGCCTGTAGGAATAACTCTTCCTAGGCCTAATCATACCACTGCGTCTTCCAATCCCGGCCCAAAAAACTAACCTAACTGCCCTATCAGGCGAGGGGGTGGAGTTCTTATATCGGCGGACTCCTCACTCACGTCAGAATTATTAATTATTATTATCTATCAAAAATAGCTCCATTATTATTAGTTGTTCCTACATACCTCCATTGTCGGAACTTCCTATTTATTGGAACCACTCTTTCCGCTATTTAGATGGTTTCCAGTAGACTTCTGGATAGACCAGTTGGTAGTCCTAGGTAATTTTAATATCTATGGTGATATTTGTTGCTAAAATAATTCCATCAATACTCTCCTTACTTCTTCACACCATGACTTTATCGCTGACTTGTTCGACATTTCGCTGTCTCAAGTCAACCATGTGCGAAATTCCTTATAGCGCTTACTTGATCTTTGCTTCGTCTCTGATCCTGCGAGAGTCAGTTTAGTAAGGATGGCGCCTCTGACGGAGCCCTAAGATCCTTATCATCCAACTCTCGATGTGACTCTTGATATAGGGTGTGACGTACAGAATATTTTTTTGACCGTCCAGCCAATAAAGTCCTATGCTTTCGCAAGACGGACTTTGGACCGCTGAATAATTTTATAAATGAGTTCAATTGCTCCGATCGATACATGTGCACTGACATGGCAGCTGCCATGATTTCATTTTTTACTGAATGTGTACTGTTATATTATCCGCCAAGCTCGAATAAACCGCCGTGGTTTACTAAAGAATTGAGCCGACTTAAAAAAAATCTAGGCAGTATGCTAAATTTAAATTCACCGGCTCTCAATCTGCCCTTTCATCTTATTTATCAGCTCAGTCAAACTTTACCGTGCTGAACTCGCAGTGTATAAAAATTATTAAACTCATTGAAGGGCCCAGTTCTTACAGGACCCAAAACAGTTTTATAATTTTGTTAACGCTAAGCGTAAGCCTATAACAAATCCTTCCTCGCTTTCATTTGAAAATAGTACCGCTAATATTGAGCAGGCAATAGCCGATATATTTTCGCAGTTTTTCCAAACCACTTATTCAAACTCTTCGAATTTATACCAGACTTATTCCTACGACATACCCAAATCAAACTGAATTTTCTGTCCTAGCCTAAACGAAAGCTCTTTTCTTTTAGATATTCATCGGGTCAAGCCAGATTATTCACCAGGTCCCGACGGAATTCCGGTCTGTGTGCTCAGGTATTGTGCCGACGCCGTGTGCTATCCCCATCTAAAATTGTTTACCTTATCCTTAGAAACCTTCCACTTTCCTATTATTTGGAAGGAATTGATTATTATTCTTTAATTATTAATTAATTATTAATTTTTAAACTTGATGCCGTGTAAACTTATTAAACTTAAACGTCTCGCAATGCAAGCTAATGACATTCTCTCGAGTCGTTACTAAGCTTGCTACTTACACGCTGAACTGCTGCTCTTTGGAAAGAATTAATTCTGTTGATGATTTCAGCATCCGCTTGGCCCCAAAACTTGACTTTACTGATCATATTTCGTCAATGGTGAATAGAGTCAGGGGTGTGCTTGGATTTATTAAACGGTGGTCGAAGGAATTCAATGAACTCTATGTTACTAAATCCTTATATACTTAGAATATGGATGCTGCGTTTGGAGCCCTTAGTAGGACGTCCATAGTAAACACATTGAGTCGGTTCAAAAGAACTGTTTACTTTTCGCTCTCGCGGTTTAAATTGGGATGCAAACCAAAGATTACCTTCCTACTCTAGTAGACTCCAATTAATAAACTTGCCGTCCTTAGCCAATCGTAGAATGATGCTAGGTATAACCATTATTTTTAACCTTATCCATGGTGATGTGGAAAGTGCTGACTTTTTGAGTCAGCTTAATTCCACGTACCATGTAGAACTATTAGATATCCCATTAGTGTTACGCGACTGTAGAACCTCCTATGAACTTCATGAACCTTTTACAGTGTTATGTGCAAATTATAATGATTTTTAAAATCTTTATTCGCGATTGAATTTATTACCTATTTTTACATTTCTTTTATTTTATTTTAATTTATGTGTTATAATATATTATTTCTTAGTCAATTTAATTAATTAATTGTAAATACATATATAATAATGAATTTAAGTGATTTTATTTTGTTATAATAATATTAATAATTAATATATATATTTAATAATTCAAATATATAATATACATACTTATTTATATATTCTGTATGTACATATTATGTAAATAACCCAATTTTAGTATTTGATATGAAAATAAAATAATTCGAACGCATTCAAACTTAAGAAAATTATGTGCCAAGACTTTATTTTAATTATACAAAATTTGAAACGTATAGCTTTTGGTTAGCACTACAATTGGTGCTAAGATCGATTTTGAATCCTTGTTCGTTTTTATGATATTCACTAAAATGTACTGCATTCGCACGCGACAAAAAACAGAAGTTACATTTGCAAGAAACCAGTTAAATATATGATTTCAGCGAAACGTGATGAAAAATTGCATTACAATACATTTTAATGAATTATACAAAGAATTATATTAATAATGTATTTTGTTTGATTTTAAAATATTAAGTAGTTATTTTTATACCCTTGCAGGGTATTATAATTTCAGTCAGAAGTTTGCAACGCAGTGAAAGAGGCACCTCCGACCATATAAAGTATATATATTCTTGATCAGGATCAACAGCCGAGTCGATCTAGCCATGTCCGTCTGTCCGTCTGGCCGTTTCTACGCAAACTAGTCTCTTAGTTTTGAAGCTATCTAAATGAAACTTTGTAGTTAGCCTTCTATATACTCTCACTCGTATATATGTCGGAACGGGCCGGATCGGACGACTATATCATATAGCTGCCATAGGAATGATCGGAAAATGTTTACAAAAAAAATTTTAACATTTTCAGTTTTCAATAGAATTGGATCAAATTTAAAATACAGCGATTTTAATATACTCTTCAATTTTGTGTAAAATTTTATGAAAATCGGACTACTATATCATATAGCTCCCTTAGGAACGATCGAGAAATTAATACAATTAAAAATTATATCTTTTTCAGTTTTCAACAGATTTTCATCAAATTTGAGGTATAGCCAATTTACATTAGTCTTGAAAGTCATGAAAATCGGACGACTATATCATATAGGTGCCATACAAACAATCGATGGATGTAGAAGAAAAATGGAAATCTGTGAATGTAAAGCTGCAAATATAATATATATAGGTGAATGAAATGAAAGCAGGTATTACTTCACACAATTATAAAATTTATATGGTATGGATTCCTAGTCATAGAATTTCTACCTGCAAGGGTATATAAACTTCGGCGTGCCGAAGTTAGCTTCCTTTCTTATTTAAATTCAATTTTAGTCCCGGTCGCACGCGACATTTTTGAAAGCGAATATTGGTGATCGGATCATTTTTTCTTCTTAACTAGTCGAGTTAACCAGGATCCGCTTGAAAATATATTTGCGTGCGTTTGTGCAAAAGGTGGTAACTGCAGAAACCCTCCAGTTAGTAATTTAATATAATAATTGCCAAACTAATATCTGTCCATATTTTTAAATTTTCGCAAAAGACAAATTGCGAATTAGATGATGATGTTGCCAGTTGAGTTTGATTCAATTATATATCAGCCTGGCATTGAAAAGAAAGAAATACAGTAGCAAGAATATATGGATAATTTTTTGAGCAATAATTTACCCATTGAATTAACCTCAAATAGATATTTTTGTAGATATGTATATTGCAAAGGCATCCATCCGAGCTTTTTATACATGACTTTGGAAAATTTAAAGCACCATCTGATATATTTTTGTTGTCTGTAAAATCCACATAAAGGTTTTTGAAAATATTTTCAAAAATAACTAAATATTAGGAAATTTATTGTGGAACAACGTAATAAGTGCACAAATGAAGGTATTTAATACTCATTATGATATAAAAATTGAATGTTATGTGCATAAGATAGATAAATAAACTTGTAAAGTTTTACTTTTATGGCAGAAGAAGCAATATAAGCTAAGTATTTTATGTCATAAATAATAAACATTAATAATATATAATGAATGTGAACTAGTCCTATTGGGATACCACAATTAATAAAACGCGCCAGAAAGTCTACCTCTATAGTGATGTGAAAACAATTTAAACCAATATTTATTATGAACTTAATATTTTGTTATAATATTATATTTTATTATTGTGACATAAATACGTATAGATTTTAAATTAAATATTGGAATTAAACACTTAGTATTTATATTTTTTTATATTACTTATAAAAATAAAGAAAAAAAGAACAATATATAGGGATTCAAGCACTAAAAAAAAATGTTTAAAATGTTTAGTTTAAATCAAAAGAAACGAACACATGGATATGCACATGTATACATCAGATGTTTCTGCTGGCGTTCTCGTCCCACTCTCTACCTAACAAGCGGTCGGCAGCCCAAAATATAAAATTTTAATTTTTCGTCGTTGGGCTTGCGAACAGAAGCACACGCATTTATTATTTACGCACGCATACGCACTTGTTTGTTCCGTGTTTACTCATACATGCAAATCCATTATATTTTTAGATTTTTACGCTCTCAACTTTGTGAGAGCAAGAAGAGGGCCATAGTCATTTGAATAAAAAAATTAGCCTCATATTGCAAAACGATTGTATAGTCTTGAGGCATCTTGTAATCTGTATAGTTTTTGGTAAAACCTCCTTTGAACTGCAAGAACTTTTTAGAGTCTGTGCAAATTATAATGATTTGTACACACTAATCTCCAACGTAGATACTCTTCCCAAAATAACATGCAAGCAATCAACCTGACAACACCGGTAGTAAATTTCCTCGTTTTCTGTCCGATATTTTCCATCGCGCCTACTAACAACTAACCCAAACTGACACGTGCCTGGTGTTATACGGGCCACTAGTGTACTGACCGTAGTGCATCAACGTCCATATATATTGTCAATTAATTAAGGCACTTTTTTTAGCGAATGGTCGTATGAAAATCCGAAAATATAAATATAGATACAGCATGACGTAGCCGTTTTTTTTTTTAAATATATTTTTTGAGCAAATGGGAGCACTTAAAAAACTATATTGTATATACGAAATTTCTGCTTTAAAAATGTATCTTGAAAAAAAATCATATAAAAAAAATCTTACGTCATGCCAAAAAGAATGTTATAGAGAAGCTGTGTAAAAAATTAAGGGAATCGGTCGAGTAGGTATTGAGAAATCAAGTACACCGTTCCAAAAAACGAAGTTTTGAAACCAACCAACCCATACAAAGAAGACTAAAAAGTACTCTAAGTTATACCTGCAGCGCTCACTTCTAATGACTGTAATATCCACAAATAATGAGATTTCTTTAAGCCTGATAAATATCTTAAAATGACTGTTAGAATATCGGCTTCTAAATTTGTAAAAAAAAAATTCAAAATTTTCAGGGCGGTTATAAATGTTATGATCATTAGAAATCGGCGCGGCAGGAGGAAACGGAGAGTAGCTGCAAGTCGTATCTTGCGTTTTTAAAACTATTCACTATTCACTATTTTACAACTATTCAACTTATTAATTAAAAAAAAAAGAATTGAAACAGATTTTACATACATATGTACAGTGACGTTACATTTTTTATTCAATGTATAGAACTTTTTTTATGAAACTTTTTAATACGAAGTTTTCTACTGAAAAAATTTAATCCATTGTTGAAGTGCTCTCAATTTCAGCTACTTCAAGCTGTTAAAAATTTATATCTTAAAAAATATTTTTCACAGATTCCCACCATCAAGACGCGATCTCGAAAAACCAATGATTGTCATATCTCCACCATTTTTAATTAAAAAAAAATTTTCTTTTAGTATTTGTGAAAAAATCTATCTCAAATAGTTTAGTCACATTACATTTTGGAAAAGTCGTCCTAAGAACATCCCCGTTCATTGTATTCTATCCTGAGTCGCTCACAGCTTGAAAAAAAAATCCGACTGAGATGCTCTAGGTCACGATACAATTACGAAGGTAGTCACTTCGGCAGTCAAAGCAGTCGGGTTTTTCTTCAGTGCGTCTTCGTTTTTCGTAGTGAAAGGTTGCGTGCGGACAAATTTGTTTCTAAATATTAAAAAATTCTATTTTAAGACAATAATATACTTTAGGATTAAGCATTTAAACAAAAGACTCGCCACGCAAAAACAAAAACAACGGCTTATTTCCAGCTCAAAATTTTTAAAAATTAAATTATAAAAAAAAAATTTCTACTCATTTTATTACAAAAGGAAGCTTAAAGCCCCATACTTCATCTAAGGGTTAATCAACACATTCTATTGTTGTCCCGCTCGCACTTACTAGGTTGAGCCCCTCTCACTCGCACTCATTGCTATGATTGAAGAGGTACCAGATTTTTCCGACGGAACTACCTTTTAAAATTGTATCATGCTCTAGGTCACCTTACCCCCTGTTAATTTTCAAAATGTTGACTTCTAAAGTATTACCTTCTTTCAAAACTCGAAAGGTTTCGTTATGTGGTAATATTTTATTTTCTATTTCGTGTTGGCCACACCTTCGTATCCACCATTATATACAACTCTTTGTGTGGTACAATCTAATTCAAATTTAGAGAAACCTTTTCAGCTTCAACTCTTTAATTTGCTTTAGCGACCAGAAATGGGCCTTGTTAAAATTATACACGACTCTGTAATGACTCTGTAAACAAATTTTTGCGATCTGCCATCGTCGTTAATTCCATTTGACAAAAATTAAGGTCTTAATTGTAAGCTAAATTTTAAACACTTGTTCGTAAATAAAATTTGAACAACGGTTTTTAAGAATACGGCACAGCGCCAAATTATATTAAGAGACAAATTAAATTATGCAAATTTCGAGTTGGAGTGAAAAATTAAGTCAATGTTTGTATATTTTATTTTATTACATACAGTGACGCACTAAACTGTTGGCACAGTTGCAAACTTGAACTTTAAGTGCTATTTCCAGGCGTATACATTATTTTATTGAATACATTTTTTTAATATAGTTAAATTAAATTATTATGTATAAAATTACCCTATTTTTATTTTATTTTGTTTCATATATATAGAACTATATAAACTTTAAAAGAAAATGACCATATTTTGTGACACAAAAATCTTGGCACAGTTACTAGTTTTACTTGATTTATTTTAGACTTACGACCTTTATGTTCTTTACTTTTTAACAAATGTAAAAGGGTTCTTTTTTAAGCACATGGCGTCACAAAGTTTCCAAAAAAATTTACATTTATCTTCAGTTCTTCTGCCATTGTCCTAAATTTTAAGAAAATGGAGAATATCCGAAAAAAAACCGACGTAGCTCAAAGAAAAATTGTCCTTCATCTGCACAATGTAGTCAAATCGTATGGCGAAATAGCCAAAACGATTGAACTAAGCCGATTTTCGAGAGTCGAGTCGAAAGCTTGGAGAGCGCACCTAAATCTGGGCGTCCCAAGGCTTTAAGTCACCGGGAACGCAACGCGGTGATCCGAAAGGTCAAAGTGGACTCCAAAACATCATCCTCCCAGATCGCCGCTGAAGATAAAACCGATCGTAAAAAGTGTCCTATACGAAACCAACTTACATTGGCGAGCTGCTAGGCAAAAGCCGTTCATATCTGATATCAATAAAAAACGCGTTTGACCTATACTAAAGGGTATCTGAACAAGCCAATTGAATTTTGGGATCAGGTACTCTTTTCGGAAGAAACCAAAATTAATATTTATCGCTCTGATGGCCGCCAGCACTTATAGAGAAAGCCGAACACTGAGTTGGATAAAAGTAACTTGGCACAAAAGTCAATCCCGGGGGCTGAGGCGTGATGGTATGGGGATCATGTCATCCGCTGGTGTCGGTAACCTGGTGTTCATCGGGCGTATCATGGATAAAGTATGTTACCTCAATATTTTTAAGGAAAACTTAAAAAAAAACCGTCAAAGTTCAAAATGCAAAAATTCGTTACTTTTATGCAGGACAATGATCTGAAGCTTTCTGCTCACGATGTGCGTATGTTGCCCACTAACTATAGAGCACATATACTGCCACATCCACCAGTCACCGGACCTAAACCCGATCGAGCATTTGTGGGAGCAACTCGTTAGACGAATGAAAAAACACATTTCATCAAAAAATGGCCTTAACAAGGCATTATTGGAGAAATGGCTGAATATTTTAGCAGAAGTTACTAAAAAATTGGTGTAAGTCCTAGGCTGTCATCAATAAAAATTCATCAAGAATTCATCGATGATTCATCAACAATTCATTATCCATTGATCGATGTTTCATCAACAAAGTTCTCAACGGCCGGGCCATGGTACTGCCGACGACTACCGACTAGGCTACCGCCGTAACTGTATCGTGGGCAGAGCGTCGTACTAGAAGTCCCAGTCGGCAGAGCGTCGGCTCGGTCGAAGTCGCAGTCGGCGCGTTGATGACAGTGGCCTATTCATGACACGTGGTACTGCAGGGTAGTACAAGGTATTCGATGTGTAGGTAATGACATAGTGTACAAATTATACAATAGATTTCGACAAGAATAAAAGTATTACCTTATTTACAACAAATGGGAAGTTTTTGTCATCTTCTGCGTTTACAAGTTTATTTGTTTAAAAGCTTATAAAATTGATACAGAATTCGAATTTAGCCCAATATTAACATTTAAAAGGCTTTCAAGACAGAAGTCAATAAAAATCGTATGGCAATATATTTACACATGCAAAAACTTATGTATATGTCGACATCTATATAGTGTTTGTTTTTTTTTTAATGCAATTACCTTTCGTAACTTAATGTGACCGTAGTTTGGATTTGCAAATAAATATTTAAAGTTCATACGTCCCTCAAATTACAGTCGATGAGTAGCGTCAAAATGGAACGGTGGGAAAATGGAACACGGAGGGGATCTTTAATTTTTAATTTATTTCGTAGTTAGGGCACTAATTCGAATAAAATAAAGTTTCTAAATGCTAAAAATGAACTTACTAATGTTCGTGTGTTTACGGATTTCTTAATATCTCGGCTAATCGAACGCGTTCAGAAATACCCGATACTCCAAAATAAAGGAAATTTATTTATCTTCAAACCGTCACTTTTTGACCAAATCGCATAACAATGATCTAACCTCGGGGTCGGCCCCATACAAAAAAGGGCATCAAAAATTGTACGAATTACGAACGCGTGCACATATGCACGGTATATAGGCTTACTAGGGAAAGATTAACGAATACTTGATGAAAATTTCAATTGTTTTTAAACCATAGGATTTTGAGAAAATCAAATAACAGTGGGTGGTGTATATTATAAAATATATATATATATATAAGAAAAATACTAAATTATATAAAAATAGCAAATTGTTAAATAAAACATAAAGAAATATTTTTCTCAAACCATCGATAGTGTCGATAGTACTATCGGTAGTGTGATGCTTTTTAATTCTTAGATGTAAAAAAGCTATAAAATGAAATTTGAACAAAACTTTATTATATTTTTAACTCTTTAAAAATTAAAAATTAATTTAATTTGTTGCTTCATTATATTTTTAACTCTTAAGTAAAGTGGGCTTAGGACCTACGTTAATAACTAGCCTTTTTTGATTAGGGATTGTATAAAAAGTATATCGTCGAACTGCGCATTCGAGCGGGTAAGAAGTACAAAACTAATTCTATTTTAAAAAGAGCATTAGGAGATTTTTACTTTCAGCTATACTTTTGCTTTTCACTATATATTTGCCTTCCACTTTCAACTTTATTTTTTCTTTGTGATGTGATAAGCAGCGTGCAAAACTATCGATAGTGTAGGGCAGCCATCGATGGCGGTGCGATAGCGCCAAACCATCGATAGTGTCGATAGTGCCATCGATAGTTCTCCACCTCTAATTACTATATTGTTTTTTTCAGATGCGGGAAGTTCCTGGACTCCATACCAATTGTGAGTTGATATCTTGTCTTTAATTGTAAACAATTTAAAGCTGCAAAATTGTATCAGGAAAAACTAAAAGGTGACTCCATTTCTTCAGAAAATTATGAGTTCAGATAGAGATCCCGACTATTCTATTCGACGAATATTGCGACAAAGACAAAAAAAAAAAAGCGATTCAAATGAGAATGGTATAATTGATTTAGATAAGAATAAACGCAAAACGAAGAAGAAAGGATCCTTGTACACCAAAAATAACGCATACGATGAATATGGAAATATTCGTTTCAACGGAGTGGACATCTGTAAGAGTTTCGTCATTATTGAAAAAATATTACTAAGTATTTTTTCATTTAAGGCGACTGTATGAATGAAGAATGTGATGGCTGCTGGTACGTATGCCGTTGTTGTGGCTCTACAAAATGTGGTCCTCAATGTCGCTCAAATCGAAAGTTTTTCTATGAAGGCATAATATATGATGGAAAGGATTTATCTTTAACTAATAAATTTGTTACCAAATAACGTTAGGGTAGCATTGAATTTCTGTTATATTGAGTTTGTTTTCTAACTGTAAGGGAATTCTTTTCATTTGTAAAAATATTCAAAACTGGACTACAAACGGCCTCATAGGTTTACTTGTTTAAGTGTGAATATAAGATGATTAGGTCAGACCCAATATTTACAGAAGCCAAAATGTTGGATTATCAGCTTTATGTGGTTCTAGCTTCAATGCATTGCTGTACCCGGCTATAACCTAAGCGCGGCTCGAGTTTTCGGAACTCCATTTCGTCTCTTAATTCTTATTGCATTTAGAACTGTATTCTCAAATGTTTTTCGTTTAAGTTTTAGTTGTGTAAAAGTTTAATATTATAAAGCAGAAATGGGCATGCCTTGACTCCCAGAGCTCGTGCGGCTCAATCCGTTATGTTTTGAAATAGGAAGAGGTCTCAGCGCACATTTACAAAAACAATGTGTTTTGTCGGGGGGCGATCCTGCCGCTGAAGATCCTGTTTTGTCAAATGTAGCCCAATGGAAATTCCCACGTCGCAAGCGAAGGTGAAAAGTAAAAGACGGGGGCGTCGTGGGCAAATCAAATGGTCAGCTTTATTGCGCTGCATACATAAGACTAACTCTAGCTTAAATGTAAGGGCCGCGCTCCCGACCGATAAGCTACGCTTAACAGTGCGAGAGCGGGCCCGAGAAGTGGAGCGCGAACAAGCTGTCCCTCAGCTCGCTTAGCAGCGAGCGAAGCTCGGGAATTCGGGAGCGGGCGTTCGCGAGCATCGAAGAGTGGGCGCGGGAGCGCTTAGACTAGCCCGATAAGCAGTGCTCGAAGAGCCGACTTGCGGGAGTGCAAGAGCGGCCAAGGCTTTGGAGGCTCGGTGGACAGAGGCGGCGCCGCGGCCGCCGCGAAGGGCCTTCTGACGTGAACATTCTCCCCCCTTGCAACTACTCGGGTTGCAACATATTCGTCCTGTATAACTGCCGCGTTCTGCAGGGGGTCCTGGCTAGCGGCGGAAATTGCCTATGCGCACCGGACTGGAGCGGTGGACGGAGGCCGTGGAGTGGCTGAGGAGGGGCGGGGCTAGCCCGATGAGCAGTGCTCGAAGAGCCGACTTGCGGGAGTGCAAGAGCGGCCAAGGCTTTGGAGGCTCGGTGGACAGAGGCGGCGCCGCGGCCGCCGCGAAGGGGTCTTCTGACGTGAACACAATGCAATATCAGAAAGCCTGACGACAAATGCACATCTACACAAAAACTCTAGAACACAAAAACAAAATACATGTATTTTTGTAATAATTGGGACGTGCAGCGACGCTGGTTGTTGCTAAAATTTGTTGTCTGGCTCATTTCCCTATTTTTCGTGCCCATCTTTGTTAAACAGGCCTGTTCCACTTTCGAACCGGAGGTGAATTTCATACTATTTTTTACCCTTGCAGGGTATTATAATTTCAGTTAGAAGTTTGCAACGCAGTGAAGGAGGCACCTCCGACTATATAAAGTATATATATTCTTGATCAGGATCAACAGCCGAGTCGATCTAGCCATGTCCGTCTGCCATTCTGTCCGTCTGTCCGTTTCTACCCAAACTAGTCTCTCAGTTTTGAAGCTATCTGAATGAAACTTTGTAGTTAGCGTTCTATATACTCTCGTATATATGTCGGAACGGGCCGGATCGGACGACTATATCATATAGCTGCCATAGGAATGATCGGAAAATTTTTACAAAAAAAATGTTAACTTTTTCAGTTTTCAATAGAATTGGATCAAATTTGAGATATAGCCATTTTACTATACTCTAAAATTTTGCATAAAATTTTATGAAAATCGGACAACTATATCATATAGCTCCCATAGAACAATCGAGAAATTAATACAATTAAATTTATAACTTTTTCAGTTTTCAGCTGATTTTCAAATTTGAGGTATAGCCATTTTGTATTAGTCTTAAATTTTTTGTCAAATTTCATGAAAATCGGACGACTATATCTTATAGGTGCCATACAAACGATCGTTTGATGTAGAGGAAAAATGCAAATCTGTGAATGTAAAACTGCAAATATAATATGTATAGGTGAATGAAATGAAAGCAGGTTTTACTTCATTGTTTTTAACACAAATATATATATAATGTATATGGTATGGATTCCAATTCATAGAAGTTCTATCTGCAAGGGTATATAAACTTCGGTGTACCGAAGTTAGCTTCCTTTCTTATTTCATTTACCTTTAACATACTAATTTCCCTCGTTGATTTACGCCAAACTTTCCTTTGGTCCCTTGTACTTTCAAATAATTTCTGCTGTCCGCTATCAAGAAATGGATTTACTTTAAGGGGTAGACCACCCTGAAATTTTTTAAAAATCACATTTTTTTTAAGCCGATATTGTTACGGCCATTTTAAGACATTGGGCTTAAAAATATCTTATTACTTGTGGATTTTAGAGTACCTTAGAGTACTTTCTTTATCTTCATTTGCGTTTTTCTCAAAACTACGTTTTTTAAAACGGTGTACATGATTTCTCAAAAACTGCTGGACCGATTCTTTTCAAATTTTTTACAAAGTTACTTTATAACGTCCTCTATGGCATGATGTAGGATTTTTTCGATATGATTTTTTGTTTTAAAGTTATACATATTTGAAACAAAAATTTTGTAATCGATTTGTAGATAAAAAAGTCAATGCAGGACGGGGTGGCCCTAGAATTGGATGGAAAGCACGTAGGGCTTCCAGTTGCTAGAATTTGTGCTGAAGAATTCGTTATAGCATCATGTAGAGCGCTCCCTCTTCCGTCGGCTCTGTAGCTACCCTAAAGTCGATGTTTTGCGTTAAAGTCCCCGCCTAGGATGAACTTATGGCCCAGTTCTGAAAGGAGGTGATCAAATTCAGAACTAGTCCAACCTAATGAAGGAGGAAGATACGCTGCACCAATCAATAGCTCTCCACTGCTAGATGAGATCATGGCGGTAGTTAGTTGAACTTTCCAATCCGTGACAACATGAAGTTGGTAATAGGAATTTCCTTCCTTGATCAGAATGGCTGAGCCACCTCGGCGAGTATTGACGGGGTGGTCAGCTCTCAGGCATTCGAATCCTGCAAGAGTAAAGTTGATTCCAGGGTGTAAATATGTCTCTGCAATTAACATGATGTCAATTTTATGTTGTATAGTAAATATAAGCAGCTCATTCGCATTTGAAGCCAGGCTGCGGGCGTTCCAGAATCCAATGCGGAGGTCATTAGTCATAATGGGCACTATATCTGGGAATTGTCAGAGAGGATCCTCCCTGAATCTGGTTCAAATTCTGGGCTATTGCTGCCACTGAGAGGGATGCTGAGCGACCACCCTTTGGTGCTCTTGCATCATTTGGAACAAACTCAACAAGTCAGGATCTGATCACTTGCCGCTGGTAGCAACATTTGCGTCTGTTCCTACAACCATTGTCTCTAGATCCAGCCTGCTGAAACCTGGATTTTGTCTCTCCGCCTTCCAAGATTCACTGGATAACTCCCTTGAGCTTTCCACCTCCCTAAACACGAAGGAGGACGTGGATTCAGCCATTAACATCCTTCTTACAAGGATTGGGGAGGCTGCTGCAGTTGCGGCCCCTCCGGTGTCTCCAGGCTCTCTTACGGCAAGGCGTCATTGTGTGCTCTCTTCTGAAGTTGAGGGATTGCTGTTGCTGAAGAAGAGGCTTAGGCGAGAGTACATCCGCACATCTGACATGAGAATCAACAGATTTTTCAGGAGGATTTCCAACAGAGTACGTAAAAAACTGTCGTTACTCAAGGCTGAAGCTACGGATCGCATGCTGGATAACGTGACAGCTGATGCGAGCTCCAACTATGCCCTTTGGAAGCTGACTGGATCCTATAAAAGGCAAGCTATTCCCAAGTTTCCAATCAAAACAGAGGATGGTACATGGGCAAGATCAACACAAGACAGAGTTGAAGCTTTTGCTCAAAGTCTAGAAGATAGATTTACTCCCTTCGGAACAGCCTCTGTCCGGAGACAACAGATTGTGGCTGACAAGCTTGCGATTACACACCAAATGGAGCTTCCGGTGCCACCTATAACTGTGCAGGAGGTTAAGGAGGACATAAAAAAGTTAAATGTCAAGAAAGCCCCTGGAGATGACCAAATTGATAATCGTATTGCACGAACGCTACCTCTTAGAGCACTGCTATACCTTATACTCATCTTCAATGCTTCTCAGAGGTTGAGCTACTTCCCAAAGGCTTGGAAGAGTGCTCGGATTGTAATGATCCTTAAACCTGGGAAACCACTCGAGGACCTAAACAGTTATCGGCCTATTAGCCTCCTTTCCACATTTGGTAAGCTGCTGGAAAGATGCATCCATAGAAGATTACGACAGTCTCAGTTGGGAATGAACGCTCTTCCCAAATTTAAGTTTGGGTTCAGACTTAGGCATGGCACCCCTGAACAGCTGCACCGTGTCGTTGAGTATATACTCGAGGGGTTTCACTCTAAACAATACGTGGTGGCTGCCTATCTGGACATACAGCAGGCTTTTGATAGGGTGTGGCATCCAGGGCTACTCTATAAACTCAAGCCATTACTAAACCCACAACTGTTCGAAATGGTTAGGAGCTTCCTCTCTGAAAGGACATTCAAAGTGGTTCAGGACGGTACCCTATCCTCTCTAAGGCCGATAAAGGCTGGAGTTCCCCAAGGAAGCGTGCTGGGACCGACGCTGTACAGCTTGTTCACTCATGACATGCCGAAGTCCACGTTACATGATCATAATTCTATGCTGGCCACATTTGCTGACGATACTGCTGTCCTCTCCAGATCCAACTGTATCTATGACGCCACTGATATGCTTCAGCTATACCTCAAAAGGTTTGAGAATTGGGCCTGTCGCTGGAACATTTCAATTATTCCGGCAAAGTGTGCTGTAGTGACGCACTCCCTCAGAAAGGAGTCGTGCCCTGGACTGTTCCTGCATGGAGAGCTTCTTGAGCAGGTCAGAGATTATAAATACCTGGGGGTCACCCTGGACACTAGATTAACCTTCGCCAAGCATACAAGGT